TCTCTTGCTAAAACTTAAAGCTCCCAATTGAGAGAGGAAAAAAACACACAACAACATTGGCATGGTATCCTTGTGATGTCAAATGAAAAGAGTATATTAAAATTTATTTCTATTCTATAAGAGATTGTATTGTATTTTATTCAAGCAATTTTATAAGGTAATTTATTCTAGCTATTCTATAATAGATTTTATTCAATAAAATAGTTTAATCTATTATATTCTAACTATTCTATAAAGGAATATATTTTTTTCTATTCAAGTTATGATCAATACAATACATAAGTTTATGCCTGTGATAACTACCGGTATATCGTCTATTACTCCCCGAAACATACTCACTCAGTATATAGACCATTTCATGGTCGTGGAAGGTTTCTGGTCCTTCTACATTGTCACAGAAGACCTCGAAGACGATGCAGTAAGCTTTCCAAGGCCGAGTCCAAAATACTTCCCTGTAGCAGGTACTCCTGCATACTTGGGGAACTCATGGTCGACTGGCTCAATGGATTTACCGGTATAGCCATACTCCCATTTATTTACGCAGTACTCCAGCTCTATTAGCTCCCAGTTCAAATTTATACTCATAATATTGATTTACTTCCGGGTCAACATTAAAAATGTTTTTTTTGTCTTGTTTTTAATTTTTTAACTTCATAACAAAAACCGTTGACACTTTTATAAATCATTTTAGATTCAAAATAATTGAATAATTATGATAATAAAGGTCGACATAAGCATCACCGAGGAGTTGACCTAATATATGCAAATATATGTCATTTGAGGTCAAATCCAGTTCCGCATTTCATCTCACGGCATGATTTGAGTTGATATATTTGTTTAGTCATACTCGTTCAATATGGCGACCTCCTTTGAGAAAGTGTGCAGCGTTGTTGCAAATGGTGTTATTCCTGTTTCCAAATACAAGTCAAAGAACACGGGAATGGTAGTGTGCATTGCAGAAGTTGAAGGCCCGTTGGTGAACGGTTATTTTTGTTTGGGTAAGTGCGAACTACTACTATGTATTGTCTTGACTGGGATATGAATGGAAAAAACAATAAAAGTGAAACCAAACACTTTTTGATTATTACACATTTTGTATGTCGCCCGGGACTCGCGGGGAACACACGTGGCACGAGTTAAGGAATCAGAATTATATTTGAAAAAAAGTGAAATAGGAAATGATTTGCAGGAATGGAAAACAATAAAACCATGAATTAGGCCTAAATAAAAAGTTAACGCATACTATTAAATTCAAGATGTGCAAAGTCTAGCTGCAGCATTACAGCACGTTTAGTAACTATGGTTACAGCTTGATGTTAACAAAAAGCTTGAACCTCCATTTTAATGCACATTCTCAATAATATAATTTCATTTTCACTTTTTGTTTGTTGTCACCATAGCAACCGAGGCTCATGATGATGACGGGTTACCTCATACATTGGAGCATCTAGTGTTCATGGGAAGTGAGAAGTATCCTTTTAAGGTGAGTTTTATTACCTCTTCACAGTTAAACCTGCATATAAATCTTCAAACTTTTTTGACCAAGACATCTGGGCACAGAGGGATTGTAATGAAGGCAATGAGAAATTATGTATATTTGGTTCAAAGTTCTATGAAAGAAATGATAGAAAAAATATATTTTGGAGTACATGATGTAATTTAAAGTGATATTTGTATCTTGTCATTTTTTAACAAACACAGTTATAGCTGATCATACTAATCAACTAATATGTTTTTATACCAGATTATTCATGTATTCCATTCATTAATTCTAACTTGTGTACAACCATGTGTCAATACAGCAACAGGTTGTATTCTGAGTGTGGGTGTGTCAATGTTGCAACTGACTGCAATGTCTTCTTTTCATACACAAGTGTAGACTTGTTGTAACATGAATTTTTGACTGAACAGACTAGTGTGAAATAAATATATATTGTTAGCTCCGCTGTTGACTTTGTCAAGCAGACCTTATCTTATGAGTGATAGTCCGTTAGGTGGACCTCTCTCAGACTTGTTTATTTTGTGATGATATATTCATTTCTCCAATTTCGATGGATATTTTTTTCATTTTTGGTAAAAAAATTATATTTTTGACTTCTTGTTGAAAACTGCAAGTTCAATTGCTTTAATATTATACATATAGGTACCTCATGTTGACCTCTCTCAGATTTGTTTATTTTGTGATGATATATTCATTTCTCCAATTTTGATGGATATTTTTTTCATTTTTGGTAAAAAAATGATATTTTTGACTTCTTGTTGAAAACTGCAAGTAAAATTGCTTTAATATTATACATATCGGTACCTCATGTTGACCTCTTTCAAATTTGTTTATTTTGTGATGATTTATTCATTTCTCCAATTTTGATGAATATTTTTGTCATTTTTGGTAAAAAGTGATATTTTTGACTTCTTGTTGAAAACTCCCAATTGCTTTGATATTATACATTTGGGTACCTCATTATATCTTTTGTTAACTAGACATACTTACTACTATATGTGTTATTTCATAATCATTGCTTTTCCAATGCATGCAAATAAAAATTGTTGTGGCAACAGGATTTCAAGTAAAAACTTAATTAGAAAAACCTTTATTTTCTAGGGAGTCTTAGACCTTCTAGCTAATCGTTGTTTAGCACAAGGAACCAATGCTTGGACTGATACTGATCACACTTGTTACACTGTCACCACTGCAGGAAGTCAAGGATTTCTTAATTTATTACCAATATACCTGGACCATGTGCTTTATCCTACTCTCACAGTAAGTATTACTCACTTCTTAAGGTAGCAAGGTAGTAAGGGAAATCAGACCTACAAATTGAAAGAAGGGCGTACATGAAACCACCAAACCTATATATATTTAGGAAGACCCTTGGTTTAAAGTTTTGATTAATATTATTTTTTTCAATATTGTGTTTGTTTATGGCCACATTATGGCCTGTATTTCTATTTTTCCTTTTGTTTTATTTATTTTTCCTGAACAAAAGATTCTTATTTCCAGCATTTTGCGATTTTATAAGTATGCAGCCCGTTTTTGTGCAACAACAGTGAAAAGGGGGCACATGATTCAGTGAAAATTAAAATATGGAAATAAAGCTTAAGTCTTATAGAATCCATGTGTACAAACCACAACTTAGTGGCGATGGCCGAAACGACGTCACATCGATGTGCTCCATAAACAAACACTGAGAAAACGAGACAATTGTGAATTCTCAGCTTTGGACTGTCACTAGACTTTAAACTTGAATTGCTGCGGAGATCTCATTGACAGCAAGAGAGTCATGCTACTTGTTGCAATCAATGCTGGCCAAAATTCCATGGTTAAACAAGCCAAGGGAACAGTGAACATGGAGACGCAGAGAATGGAACATTATTTGAGGAGCAAAATCAAGTCTATTTATGTCGAGCAATTATTTTAAAGAGGTTATCTTTCTGCATTGATGATATCTGAGTGTCACGAGGTCTTGAATCCATGGACAGGGTACTCCTACTGCCTCTCTCTACCTAGACGAAAATGTTAAGCTGGTTCAGTTGGCATGTCATATTGTAGTCTGGTTGTGCGTTTCCTGGAGTGCTAAAATAGACTGTTTAATTAACCAGTAATAATACCAGTAATAATACACAGCACTATTGATCAATTAGGAATATGGATTTCACAATCTCAAAAGTGACAGTTATTATTCCTGTATTTTCAAGTTAGTTTGTAAATGAGACTAGAAGTAGAATAAAAAATAAATATATTTGAACATTTATTTTGTATACAGGATGCTGCGTTTATCACAGAAGTTCATCATATTAATGGTGATGGAGAGGATGCTGGTGTTGTGTACTGTGAGATGCAAGGCAGAGAGAATTCAGGAGAAAGTCTCACTCACCTTGAGATGCTCAGAGCTATGTATCCCGGAAAATGTGGTTACAAGGTAAAAACACAGTTCTTACCTCTTACTTAACCTCCACAAAATAAATTACCTTTTTTTCAGCATTTTTTAATTTTTTTTCTTAAGACTTATAGCCAGATCTTAAAATGAGATCTTTATTTGAGCTTTTATCAATTTTGTTTTAATATTTTTTTAAATAATGCATTTAATTATTTATTTTTCATATATTTTATTTTAGATTATTTTAATTTATTGTTAATCATAACTTTGATATTTTTTTTCAGAGGTTTGGTAATTACTAACTTTGATATATATTCTTCTAAATATAAATAAAAAAAACAATTCTCCAAGATCTGTCGAAATTTTTACAAATGGATGAAACAAATTGTGAATTTGGTGTATGTAAATTTATCATTTGCTTATATGGTCCACCAGTCTTTCAATAAAAGTGTAACTTGCTTTTTTTTTCAGTCTGAAACTGGTGGTATTATGTTGAATCTGCGTACTAGCACAAACAATGAAAAAGTAACAAGCTATCATAAAGAATTCTACAGGCCTGAAAATTTATGTTTGATTATTACTGGTCAAGTCAAACCTGAAGATGTTTTCAAAGCACTTGAACCAATTGAAGAGAAAATTATTTCCAAGGTATGTGTCCTAGGCTAGTTAGTGTTGACTGCTCTTTTATTAGCTCCGCTGTCATCACAGATGACCCAGCGGAGCTGTTAGTATGGGGCGTCTCTCCGGCATCGTCCATCCCTTGTCCCACGTGAAGTTTTCCTTTAAAAGACTTCTTCTTCAAAAGTACTTGACCAATTACATTCATATTTGTACCAAAGGTACTTGGGGTGGTCTTCTGTCAGATTTGTTAAATTTGTGTCAAAATATGCAAATTTGTTTTTTTTAGTGAATATTTTTGTCATTTTTGGTTAAAAAAGGTTATTTTCGACAACTAGTCCGAAACCGTAGGTCCAATTGCTTTCATATTTGCAGCAAGGATACGTGGGGTGGTCCTCTGTCAGGTTTGTGTCAAAATATGCAAATTTGGATTTTTAGTGAATGTTTTTGTCATTTTTGGTTAAAAAAGGTTATTTTTGTCAACTAGTCCGAAACCGTGAGTCCAAATGCTTTTATATTTGCTGCAAGGATACGTGGGGTGGTCCTTTGTCAGATTTGTTAAATTTGTGTCAAAATATGCAAATTTGGTAAAAAATGTTATTTTTCGTCAACTAGTCCAAAACCGTAAGTCCAAATGCTTTCATGTCACTTTACTGATTCTTGTTTCATGATAATGAAGACAGCGGAGCTATTTCGACCGTCAGGTCGCTTGTTTAATAACATGTTTTAAAATTTTATTCTTTTTTAATAAAATAATAATTTTTGTAGTTACCGGTGTGTTGAAAGTTTTATTGTTGAATATTGTTTATAGGGGAAACTACCTGAATACACAAGACCGTGGCAGGCAGCAGTTCCACCACTAGAGGGCAGTGTAACAAAGTTAATACCCTATGCAAGTGATGATGAAGCCAATGGAATGGTTGCTGTTGCATTTAGAGCACCTCCATCTAAGGTGAGGTACATTGATGCTATATGTTGATAAATATACTGGACTATCATTTAATACTCACATACACCTATTTTTCTTTTTTTAATTAATATTTGTTATTTCGTAAAACTAAATTTTATTTTATACTGTTGAAAAACAAGAGCTGATGAAAACAAAAAGATGTGGGCTTTGGTGTTTTTTTGTTTTTTTTTACTTTAAACAATTATTCAGTCCCTTCAATGGCTGTAACCAACACTAATTATCTATCTTTTGTTTAGTAATCATTGAACAAATTCTGTTTTGTGTAAATTAGTTTTCTATAAATCATAGTCTGATTTGATCTACATTATGAAGTATTGCACAACAATATTAACAAATATATGTTCATATGCATCTTTAAAAAAATGTGCAGTCACTGATAAAATGTATTACTTTTTTAGTAGTATATTACTGATGCAGGAAAACTGGTGCTATTAGGGTTGTACCATTATTTCAGCTAGGGGTGGCTGTTGTCATTATGATGGACTATTATTGATACTTAGTTTATCTCTTCAAATTTAGGATTTATACTCATCCTCTGCTAATATGATATTATTAGAATATTTGACGGACACAGCAGTGTCACCTCTTCAACGAGACTTTGTGGAAATCGATGACCCATTCTGTAGCAAGGTAAATCAATGTTTTATTACATAATATTTGCAAGATAATTATTCTTTTGCACATGCGTTTATTATTTGTAATTTACCAATTTGTAATTTAAGTGTTATCTAATACCAAATAGTGTCTTCTGAGTTGGGAGTATCTTCCAAAGTTTAGTGTTTTTCCAACATTTTTCTGTGTTAAGGCCAGTGCCCTGTAACAGAACTGATTTTGTAGGGATGCTAAGTCAATATGATATCCTTCAGAACCAAGATAAGAAAGTTGGTCTTCAAGAAAAAAAAATAATTTGTATATGGCTGTATAGGTGACTTGAGGCACAAATGAAAATGGTGTTTCCCCCGATTCCCCTTCGTTTTTACTTTTATTTTGTCTATAAAATGAGTTTCATTTTACTAAATTACAAATTCTATAACTATATTAAAATGTTTTTCAAGATCACTATATTATTTTATGACTTTCTGTTATGTCAATAACACACCAATGAATTAACAAAACCAGTTGCATCATAGCAAATTTTTGTGGGCAGGCTGTTTAATAACGCATTTGAGTCGAATACACACTTTAGCATGTTATAGCACATATAGACAATGCATTAAGGGAGAAAACTTCGCAATGTACTAGTATATATTGTTAAACTTATCAGCCTGGAAACTCACTAAATGTTGTTTGAAATGTTGAATCATAATATACACCTTTTTCAATTTCACTGATCAATATGTTGAGACATGAACAAATAATCTTGCGGTAGAAACCTGTGTACAAATGAAATTGTAGATGCTTGTATCTAAATAAATTGTCCAGGGACCCCAATTGTTTGTTTTTTTGTTTTGTTTTCATTTTGGGTTTTCGTTTTTGGTATGATTAGCATAGCATATAATTTTCAATTTAATTCATACCTTCTAAATTTATTAACTTAATTTACGTTTCAGGTTAGGTATTCCATTATAGAGAATTCAGAAGGGTGTATGTATGTCAAATTTGACAATGTACCAAAGGAAAAACTGTCTTCAGTTAAAGATAAGTAAGTGTTTTTTACTAATTTTTTATATTTGCCACTTGTTATGTTTTTTTTGTTTTTGTGATCTATCTCATATGGTAATGTTTTGGACCTCAGATGCTTAGATGTTGTTGACTTAAGGGACATGTAGTTGAGTACTATTTAAACAGAGATCATACTCTATTGTGCTGCTCACTCATATAAAATATGTGGTCACTGAACTACTTTTTGCACAAAACATGGGTTGCACATCCATGAATTCATTTACCATTGGTTTCTATATTTTAAAGGTGTAATCATGTCTGAAAATTCTTATTGGTTACATATCTTGGGTTAAAAAAATTATTTGTAGTTATATGATAGATACTTGCTGTTGTAACTTAGTTTTAGACAATTTTGAGAAATATAATTTATTTATATATAATGCCTGGAATCCTATAAAAAAAAATCAAAAAAATGCCAATTTTAGTATTTTTTCAAACGTTTTTTTCCAAATAAATATTTTGTACAGGGAAAAATAACAATGTATATATATGTATATAAAGATATAGATGGATAGCAAGTCTGCAAAATTTCACATCAAATTTAATGTTCTAAATATAAGTCTTAGAATTGAATTAACTCAACTAATTTTTGAATTACTATCATGTTGATGTGACTGTAAGTCTATAATTTTAACCTTGCTATCATAATTACTGTGAACATTATAGAATGTTGACTGCACTAGCAAAGATTGCCGATGGTACAGAGTCTATTGATATGAAACGTATGAAGAGTGTTATCCATAAACAAGTTCTAGAGTCTCTGAATAACATGGAGGACAGACCACATGATACATTCGCATTCATAATTATTGGTCATGCTCTCTATGGAGACAGCATGGAAGATGTGAGTGATTGCTTTTACACTTTTTTCCTGAAAAAGTTTGGTGCCATATTTTGATATAATTTTTCTATAATTTATTAATCAATTTCATAGACCAGATGCCCATTGGCTAAAAGTTTTGATCAAAATGTTTGAAAAAAATCTAAAAATAAAAAAGTTTGTGTGGATTTTTTTGTAAAAGGTACAAAAATCATTTTGGTGTTAAAATTGTTAAATAAAAAAAAACACAAAAATTTATATACATGTATATGATGCACATAAAAATGTGCATAAACCAAATGTGTCAGAAATAAAAGATGGGCTGAAAAATAGGAAATAGATGTGTGCTTGTAATATTCATGTTTGAATAAACAAATCATCAAGTGCAGTCATGCTGGCAATCTTTAGTGACTCGTATCAAATCTACTTTCAGCTGTGATTTTATTTCGATATTGCTCCTTTATTTTGTGGTCAATTGTTTTTTCCTTCTGATACAGTAGCAGGTAAACTAAAATGGTCTTATACTGCTCACATTGCTTGAAGTAATATGAATATTTGTTTCTTGCTTCACATTTGGAAAAATAATGTTGCTTCAATATTCAGTGAATATTTTGTTTAATATGGATTAAATTTGAACTTAAAAATACATTTTGTTTTATGGTCAGTTCTCAACAAGTGGTTGTTGCATACAAATTTTTTTATTCAATGCAGTTCAATTTTATTTTCAACGATACCATTAAAACTTTTTTATAAGTTACCGATAATCACATCATAATAATAATAATTTATGTTTGTTTCAGTTGGAAGGCAGATTAAATCAGGTTTCTGATTTGAAGAAGCTTTCTGATGAACCAGTTGAATTCTGGAAAAAGTTTTTAACTACCTATTACGTCAAGCCACCATGCATAACTGTAAGTCGTTCATTTTATTTATTATAATACTGAGCAATAAATTTATTAGTTTTTGTATCTTAGAAACTAGCAAGTACTTTCAGAAAAGTTGTTTACAAAATTGACAGATTATAAACATAAAACATTCACCAATCAGAATGATCCCTGTGGATGAATACATGCTCCTGAAATAGCTGACGCGGTCTGCATGTGTGCATAGGAATCTGATTAGCTATGCGGCACGAATAGACAATCCACTTGCTTCAGTTGGATTGAATGAAACATCTATGTTCTTTCGTCTCTTATTACCAGTAACCTACCTTTTGAACCAGAAGAGGAGGGAGAGGATGAATTACTAGCTAAAAATAGAATTGATTAAAAAGCTAATAAAATGTTAATTTGGAATTTTGTTAACCCTTCAAAAAAATACTTTTCAAATTGACACTATGAGGGTGCTATAGAGTCACACTAGAACAATTGTTTCCTGTTTTACAGGTGGTCTCAGTAAATGCAGATTTTACTAGAATAAACTACACCTTTCACCCACACACTTTTCTGTCATAGTAAACCTTTCCATGTAATATTTATACCTACAACTTATCTATTGGTTTTCTGAATCATATCGTTTATGTTTTGAAGAATCCTATTTAATAGCGTGTTCTGTTTTAGATTATTGGTGAGCCGAACCGAAAACTAATGGAAGAGATGGCTGAAACAGAGAAGGCTAGGATAAGCAAACAGGTGGAAATGCTTGGAAAAGATGGTTTAAAACAGAAAGCAGAGTTACTGGAGAAAAGTACTGAGCAAAATGAGGTCAGCACATATTATAAAACTTATTAATTGATTCTATCCTACCTGGTGTTCAACTCTCAAGTTGGTGATTATGCCACTGAGTTAATGGGGAAACCGCATCTGGCAGTCAAGGTTACCGGTAATTCGTTTACAGATGTAGCTTTGTGAGTACCTTGACTATGGTCCCTGGTATTTAACATCTCAATTTGCCAAATAATTTTGAGTCTGGTAATGGCAAAAAAATGCAAAACCCTTCTTGCCCTTCTTGTGAAAAAAAGTGTATGTATCAAAAATCAAAAATTCCCAGAATTGTACCTTTCATATATGTATAAACCAACACATAGAGCTGCATTCTATATTTTGTGGAGGGTCTAAATTAAAGTAGAATTTAAAGTGTTGAAACTTCCTGGAATAGTTTTTCTCTAATTATTCATAATATGTCATCTTGTCTGTGCAAGGTTTTTACCACTATAACTAATATGTGTTGTCACACAGATTGAACCACCAAGTGAGATGGTATGTTGTCTTGATGTTCCTGATACAGCATCTGTGCAATTTCACCCAATAACAAGATACAATGACTTCACAGAAATCGCCAGTCAGTGTAAATACATGCAACTGGATAAGATGCCTTACACTTTTCAACTTGATGATATAAACACTAGTTTTGTCAAGGTAAGGAAGCTTGTTTGCTCTTGCAATTTGCCAAATGATTTTAAGTAGTTTCTCAAATTTTACATTAACACTGTTAAGGACATTATTTTCCTACATCTCTGGTCACTGGGAATGTGCATGAGAACATTGGTGTGAAAACAAATTGTTCCCACGTTCAAATAGCGACAATGAATCCAAACAAAAATAACATTTTACGGTACATGAAATGGCTTAATTTTGTAAATTGATAATGTTTAATATAGTACATTGACAGAGATGCAAGTAATATTTGAATCCAGTGTCACTGTACATGTTGTGTGTTAGTATGCAATGTCATT